TCACTCGGAGTAGAACAGAGGGGTCACTTCGCGAAGATGTTGAAGGACCTGAGAGACTTATTCGTCGAAACTTTAAAGAAGCCTGGAAGGACGGACCTGCTACGTTTCAGCATCGACACCGGAGATCACGCGCCTATTAAACAGCCTCCGTACAGAGTGTCGAAAGCCGAAGGAGATGTCATGGAAGCAGAGATTCAAGAGTACCTAAATCTCGGACTTATCAGACCATCGACAAGCCCGTGGGCCAGTCCTGTGCTGATGATACGGAAGCCTGATGGTGGCGTAAGATTCTGCATCGATTATCGCAAACTAAACGCAGTAACCGTGAAGGACAGCTACCCAATGCCTCTGATCGACGACATCCTGGACGTTCTGGGGAACGCGAAGCTTTTCTCCACTATGGACATCGCTTCGGGATATTGGAACGCTCCAATGGATCTCGACAGCGTGGAGAAGACGGCTTTCACGAGCAAATTCGGCCTCTACGAGTGTTGGTTATGCCGTTTGGCTTGTGTAACGCTGTGCCTGCATTCGAGCGTCTGATGGAGAACGTTCTCGTTGATCTCAAGTGGAGGACGTGTCTCGTCTACTTAGACGACTGTGTTGTCTTCAGTGACGACTTTCTGACACATTTGATTTGAGTACGCCAGGTTTTGGAACGTTTCCGAGCGGCAGGGTTCAAGTTAAAAGTGAAGAAGTGCCATTGGGGACGTGACCAAGTGGCGTTCCTAGGGCATATCGTGACTCCGACAGGAATACTTCCGAACCCTGGGAAGGCAAAAGCGGTGATAAACATCGAGAGACCGCATGACTTGCACACGGTTAGAGCCTTCCTGGGTCTGACAAGCTACTTTCGACGTTACATACCGGGATTCGCTGCGATCTCTGCGCCGCTGCAACGCCTGAAGCAGAAGGACGTCGATTTCAGGTGGAACGACGACTGTGAGGGCGCGCTCCGACAACTACAACGAACACTACTGAAACCACCGATACTGGTATATCCAGACTTCAAGAAGAGGTTTAATCTCTATGTAGAATCGTCACACTAAGCGGTGGGAGCATGTCTGATGCAAGAGGTCGACAAGAGAGACAGGGCGATCGCGTACGCGAGTAAGATGCCGGTTGGATCACAACGGAACCGGGTGAACAAGACAAGTGGAACGACAGAAATTGAGTGCTGGGGAATCGTGTGGTCGACACGCAAGTTCCGGTGTTATCTGAGTCACGCGGAATTTGATCTGTACACTGATCATCAAGCTCTCACGTGGATTTTCGGCGAGACAACAAGAACGTCAAACGCCAAGTTGGCACGATGGGCCATGGAGCTGTCGCAGCTACGGTTTAAGATATACCACAAGCCGGGAACGTCGATGGGACACGCGGATGGTTTGTCGAGACTGTATCACCGACCGGATGCTGGTACGGTTAGTGCCATCAAGATGGCGGACCTTCTCAACGACAGTGAGGAAGAGACTCCTGGAGTGCAAGTGCCGACTTCGGACGAAGCGCAGACTCAATCGGGAACGCAAGCCTTAAACGGAACGCTGAGTAGGAACGTCACCGATGTTCCAATCCCAGTCGGGGAGCCTGCCGAGACTACGGATCCTAACGGAGAGACTGGGAGAAGTAACCAACAGACAGAGGATGCGTCCGCAGTTGTCGAGCCTCTCACGCAAGCAGAACAGGAGGAAGACTCGCAAGGGAGAGCCCTACAGGCGAGCTCATCACCGATTGACGTGTTTGGTTTGGACTATGACAAGTTCTTGGCTGAGCAAGAACGTGTGCCCTGGATGCGAGCACTGAAGGCGTTCCTGAAAGATGCAGCCTTGGCTCTTGATCCACAACTAAGAGTGAGTGTGCTGAAGATGTCTCCACACTACTTGATTCGAAACGGAGTTCTGGCACGTCTCGTACATCTAGGAGCACGTGCCGGTCCAGCCCGAGCTGTGTGCGTTCCAACTGTCCCGTTACCGCTCATTGAGACGGTCCTGCACTATTGTCACGCCGACATCTTCTCTGCACACTTAGGGAGAACGAAGACGACGGACAAGGTGAGACGCCACGCGTATTGGCATGGATGGAGGAAGGACGTGATCGAGTACGTGCGTGAATGCTCTATCTGCAGTGGAGGGAAGGGACACAGACCTTGGAGAGCTGGACTGATGCAACGGATGCCAGTTCAGGACTTGTCTGGTCCGCTCTCGCTACTTGTAGTCGACGCAATTGGACCATTGGTCGTTACACCTCGAGGCAATAAGTACATTCTGGTGTTTGTGGACTATTTCACAAGATGGGTCGAGGCATTTGCGGTCGCTTCGTTGGACACGATCTCGTTTGCGAACGCAATGAAAGAGGGCGTTATCTGCCGACATGGAGTACCGGAACGTCTACTAAGTGATCGTGGTTCCAACTTCACGTCCAATCTGGCCAAGTCACTGTATCAGACGTTGGGGATTAAGAAGTTGTTCGGAGCGGCGTACCACCTGCAGACACAAGGTCTGGTGGAACGTTTCAACGGAATGTTGATGGGCATGCTACGTATGTTTGTGAACGAGAGCAGACGGATTGGGACGTGTACGTGCCAAGGGTCCTATTTGCTTACCGGACGGCATATCACGAAGGCCTCGGTGACACCCCGTTCTTTAGTCTGTACGGACGAGATCCTGTACTACCTATCGACTTGGCGTTCCTAAACACAGAAAGGGACTGGAAGAGTAACGAAGTTGCGACGTACCGCCGGAAATTGTATCGCTCGTTGCGTGACGCGCGTCGTCTTGTGGAACGACAACTACTCAAGGCTCAGGATCGACACGAGCAGAGGTTGGACAACCAAGTGAAGGTGACATATGCTGAAGGAGACGCTGTCTGGGTGTACCAATACTTTAGAGCCGAGTGGTGGAACGCAGGACGAAGAAGCTGGCGTTCTCCTGGCACGGTCCCTACCGTGTTGTTGGCCAAGTCAGGGAGAACGCCTACAAGATCGCGATTCCGACGCACCCGAACAAGGTCGTCACGGTAAACGTCAACCGTCTGAAGCGCTTTCAAGGACGCTGGAGTCGACCCTATGCAGACGAGAAGCCTGACAGAGTCGAAGAAGAAGAGGATGAGGACGGTACGGGTCCATTGGACGTCGAGGACCTGCCGTCGACGAGCTTTGTGGAACGTCTCTCTATTGGCGAAGAAGAAACGGCGTTCTCGGGTGTGTCGTCGCCGATAGTGGACGTGATCGCGAAGAGAGTCGAAAAGCGTGAGTTGCAGTATCTCGTACTCACCGCCACGTATGAGACGTTCTGGTTGTCTCGAGCGGCGTTGGCACCGGAGTTTGGAACGATGATACGTGCCTTTGAGGACGCAGATCGGAAGAAGAGAGGTCTGCCGGAGTTGCGTCGGAACTTCAGGTTGGTCGAAGCCAATGCTGATGTGGACGACGCTGAGGTGTTGCTCTAGCTGGCAACGGGAGCCGGTTAGAATGCGTACGGTTGTGATACTGCACGAGAGTGTTTGGGACTCGCTGAGTCTCAGAACACTGAGTGACGTGTACATATTTTCTATATTGGAACGACCACGGGTTGTTCTTTGGGTTTTACGGAGTTGGGTATTTTGGAACGTCAAGAGTCTATGAAGACAGAAGAGCGTCGGGTTGGAGCGCGAGAAAGTTTGTGGTGAGTCAGGTTGGAACAAGAAGAAGCATTTAAAAGGAGAGCTCATTGGAGATGGGAACGAGGAGCCCACAGAGGAGAGACAAGACAATACGGCGGGGAAGCGACGGAACGTTACGGTTAAGTGTCAAAAGGAAAGAGAGCGAGCTAGCGTGGAGCGACTGAGAGGCATGCAGGCCGAAGGAACGTCGTCTGGAGTAAGGAACGAAAGTCCGAATGCAAGTGGAACGTCACGAGGGAACGTTCCAGATCTGACCGTGGAAGACACCGTGCGACAGGCTCCGGGCGATGTGGCTCGGCGAGGTCACCGAGCGTTAGTCGGAAAGAATTGTCACGGTGTACAGTTAGATGGTGGATTGACGATGCTGGCTGACTGCCTGCAGAAGGTCTACACACTCCAGACTCTCCGGACCACGTCCAAGCAAGCGGGACCTGCGGCCAAGACAGTGACGTTCCAAGTGTGAAGTCATGGAGCAGCTGGTCGTGGCGGGAATTAGAGCTGGACCGCCACGCACGAGGGATCTGCTAAAAGGTAAGAAGCTCTAAAAACTCTTAGCATGGTGAAATGAGGAAGTAAGTCGTGGATTCCTTCTAACAAGCAACATAAGAATACATCAACTTTTACATTACTATCACAGTAGTGTCGCTAATACTACTACCTCCTACGTCGGCCCAAGATACTCACGACCCCGATTAGAGGAAGACCGCGACACAAGATGGTGGTGTTGGTGGTTGACGAAGCAAGGTCCCTACTTAATGAGCAGGCAGGCCCAGCCGCGCTAACAGTCAAAGTCAATGATTTCCGTCTATTACGACGAGCGCTTGCTTTGGTCAACAACAGAATCGGAGCAGAAGGAGGCATTTTCGGGGTGTTTGTAGATACGAGCCCAAAGATCTCGGACTCCGAGTCGGAGGTAAGGCCGTCGTTTGCGTCCGATCCGTCCTCTCGAAATTACACAAACAGCACTGGTGATGCGACGTTTCCTCCTTTTGTGCTGACTCACACTATGGATACCCACTGGCGGGAGTATTATCTGAAATTAAATGAGAGTAATCAAAGGGAGGGAAGAAAGGCCGATGATGATGACATGACCGGAGGTGGACAGGTGGAGACTCTAAGTGAGGAGGCAGAGCTGAAGGCTGAAATAGCTGCGTACAAGGCGATTGTGACCGGGAGCGAGGACGATGCTTGGAATGCGTTGCTGCGCATGGGTCGCCCAATGTGGTGGAGCACTTTCACCGATCGAGATGGATTATCACAAGCTTCTTCTGGGGATCTAGTCACTGAAGCTGCTGCTGGGAAACGATTTTAAACAAGAAGCCTCATACAACGAGAAGACCATGTTTGGTGTTGCGTCGATGCTCTGTCGACTGGGTGTACGTCCGTACTCAACGTCGACGTTGGCGTCGCAGGTAGTCGCGGATTTCATGGCTGTCCTCGCCTACGTGAAATTTGAGAGCGAGGGCTACTTGAGTAGCTACGCGTCGGATCCGGTGCTTGCGTTGGGTGCGATTAGCGCGTGGTATTTCCTGGAGGACGGCTTGTCCAAGTATATTCTTCCGCAGCTGAAGAAGTTGATCCTGGACGAAGCACTGGAGACAGGTGGGATTGGTGAAATGGTCGCTCGCATTGTGCTCCTTCTCGCGATGGACAAGTGTGTGATGGGGGATCGAAGCAAGTCACATGGCCAATTCGTGTCGGTGGAGTCGTTTTTGAATGTGATGGGGTGCGATGAATTTGAAGTTTATATCGAGGGAATGCTCCCTGGAAACAAAGAAACGTTTAACGAGTGGAAGTCAGAGTGGAAGGACTGGCGCATGGGGTTCACTCACTTCATACAGCTGCAAGCTGAACCGAATGAAGATACGCTGTGGTATTTGCTGGGACGTCGGGCTGCGGGTATTTTCCCGCGCAACCAGCTTGGAGCAGATCTGATGATCCCAGTATTTTGGAACAAAGATGGCGAGAAGGAGCGAGTGTCATTCATGCTCATCCAAGTGAAAAGCCGTTTCCCAAAAGACGATGGTTTCTCCCAAGCAGCATCAAAGAAGCTGTCTCCTGGGTTCGTGTCTGAAAGTCCGCATCCGAAAGGCAAGAAACCGGAGGAGGGTCCAGCACCTAAGAAACCTGCAGTGAAGCCAGCACTCCAGAAACGCACGGTGAATGAAAACCCCTTGAGCGAGACGCCTGTTAGCGATGTTATTCGTATATGCATGAATCTGAGCAAAGAAGAAACTTCCGGTCCTGAGTCGCTGAACGATTCTTTTCGGTTCATCTTTTCCACGTCGTTGACGAAAGACAGCAGCACACCTCAAGCGCGAGGAGAAGATACGGACGTTTACACGCTTTGTTTTCGCTCGCTGGGTTGTGAGACGTACCCTTTCTTAAAGGAAGATGTGGCTCAATGTCTCGCGAGTATTGTGGCGTCTCAATGGGATCCCATGGCACTTGTAGACGGCGATCTGAAGCGTCGTCGTGTCATTTGTGTATGTACTAAGCACGTTACCGGGGGCTCTAGCAACGGCCATGCCAGATTGTGAGCTAAGACAGACGGCGCGCCATGAGCTTATCTGCATTCCCGGTCACGACGTGAAATATCAAGATGAAAAGTCTAAAAAGAAGAGAAGTCGCTCGGGAGGTCAGAAAAGTGCTCCTAAACGTATCAAGAGTACGGGGTGGTTAGTTCCTCGTCGATGATGATGAAAGGTGACCTTCTATTTTGTCATAATGTTTTCCTTGTTGCTCGATCTCAATGGTTTTGCTTTAGTTTTAAAGCGGGTTTGAATGGTGTTAAAAGATCGTCAATGAATATAATTCGGTGGCTGACCGAACATGCATTTGCTGAAGCTAACGAGTGACCTAGGCGTACCACGCTGCTTTGTACATGCTGTGTTTGCAGGATGCACCCTAGACAGATAAGGTAAACGGTTGTCGCTACCTACGTTCGCTACGCGTTCAAGCGATAATTGGTCAGGAGCTATGTTTTAAATAGCTTAGCCAGCAGACTGTTAGTTGTTCTGACAGGATGTATCGGCGATGTACATGTATCTTAAGTATTTATTTAAGAAATAGCAGCCAATCAGTGACTCCAGTTACCCCCGACAATTTCTCGGAAAAACTTGATGGAATCCAATCAAATTAAGTGGAAACACGAAAGGGTCAGACGCCGGTGTTTTGGCGTAAGCTACAAGATTTTACATACATGTATGAAAGATCAGGAATCCTTCATACGTATTAATAGTATTCAGCATTCGAGGCCTACCAATCTGATATTTTATCTCCAAAACTTCACTGTACGTTTTGTGATTGACAGTACTTTCACACGATAGTAAAAATCTGTAAGATAGTAGCAGTAGAACTACTATAGTAGCCATTTCATTTACGAAAAGTTAGGATTACTACAGCTGTCATTATCGGCATGATATCCTCTTTACTACTGGTTTGTAAATCATACGAAGAACGTGTTAGCTTTGGCTTCACGTCGTTTTCCAGCCTAGGCCTTGATGTTCACGTCACACTCAGGCCACGTCTTCTCTTTGCACGTCTTAAAACAAGCTGACTTTATTGTCGTTAGCATGCTAAATAATTAAATGCTGCTCTACTACCCCAGCAACCGACCGAGTTCCGTACAGCAGTGCTAAGTAAATTGTGGTGTGAGCAATTCTGTGTTTGCGTATCGTAAAGTGAAATAATACACTGGTCGTGTCTTACAGTAATGAACTGCGCTAGTTGACTAATGTTGCAAGGTAAGTTAACCCCTTGAAACCGCCTAGGCTCACGCCTACCGGCATAATATTCGCGGTCTTAGGCATTGTGCCGGCTATTGATAGCTTCGCTGCTCCTGGATAGGGATCGGACAGGGGTTCAGTCACCATCGTAGTTGAAGTTTTACTGCAGCTATAGTAATAGTTTCTACTACCCCAGCAACCGACCGAGTTCCGTACAGCAGTGCTAAGTAAATTGTGGTGTGCGCAATTCTGTGTTTGCGTATCGTAAAGTGAAATAATACCCTGGTCGTGTCTTACACTAATGAACTGCGCTAGTTGACTAATTTTGCAATATAAGTTAACCCCTTCTAACCGCCTAGGCTTACACCTACCGGCATAATGCTCGCGGTCTTAGGCATTGTGCCGGCTATTGATAGATTTGCTGCTCCTGGATAGGGATCGGACAGGGGTTCAGTCACCATCGTAGTTGAAGTCTTACTGCAGCTATAGTAACAGTAGTTCTGACAAAAACCGTCAAGGCTTTTTTGTATTAATAGTTGCCAACGAAATGTCGTCAAAGTAATACCAGAACATATGGGGAAAACCATGCTATTGTCAATCTCTGGGTGTTTATTTTTCCATTTTTTGTACGGACAGCCGATGTCGAGCCTTGACGTCCCGATGGGAGCGCTGAAAGCGTCCCCGAAAGCCCATTACAGGTACGCGTGCTGCTAAACCACCTGCTCTCACCCTCTATGCCTACAGTGCTGCACGCTTTGCTGCCGTTTACAAACCAGTTGGATCCCGACGCGGTGGTCGCATTTTATGAGCGATTTCATCTTCACTTTCTTGTTGCAGGAGAAGGATGTAATCAAGAAACGCAAGATCAGTCAGCAAACTTTGTGTGGTAAGTTCCGCTGGATGCTTGTTGCTTGCGAGGTAAATGCAATTGTGAGTTTATACGAACTGACCTATTGTCCTTCTTGTCTTCTAGTGCTATGCCGTACGTATTGACTGGCCCTGAGCGCTCGGCGCCAGGTTGAAGCCCTCACCATGGTTGTGGTTGTCTTCTGAATACCAGATAGCCTCGAAGATGTAATACAGGCTGTGCTTCAGCCTACACTGCCTCCCAAGACGACAACCACTTCCGAAGTATGTAGATGTATACATGTAGTCTGGACCCGAATAAAAGACCGTTCAAAATCCAATAGAAAGTACCGCCTGACAGAAATCTGTCACCACGCGAGGAGAGACAGGTCATTTCTGAGACGAAACGACGTTACCAGTCAAGTTGCACTTCAACACGTTGAAGTTGGTCCGTAGCGTTACCAGGTAGCCGATTTAGTTGGATCCGGCATGCACGAGTGTAGCGTAGGCACGTACAAGCACATTGTCACCACAGGAACGAACATATTCACCCACACGTGACGGAACGTCCTTTTGTAGCGCTTCCAGAGACTCCCACGAGTCTTCTTCGTCCTGTAGACCCTCCCAGGACACGAGAAGCTGCCATACGCCACTGTTCTTCCGGTGTTCTCTCAAACTCTCAACCACAAGTAGCATACCTTGGTTGCCTACATGAGCTAGTAGTTCTTCACTTACTTCCAAACTTGAGTCAGCGTAGAACTTAAGACGCGATCCATGCACGACGTAACGTTTGTTCGTCACGAGGTAACGGATCGTGAAGGAGTGGGGGGCCGCCTCCACGACTTCAAATGGCCCTACCCAACGTGCTAACAGTTGATCCACCTCAATCCTTGAGTCGATGCGTGACCATAGCACAAAATCGCCCACGCTGAAGTTGCACTCAGTCCCCTTGGACCGAGCCATATTCTGAAGGCGACTCTTCTCACGTCGATCCACAACCTCCTTGTGCAAACCGGCCAAACTGGTCCGCAGATGGTCCTGGCGTTCTACAGGCAACGCCGAAGTCTCCAACACTTCAACGTGCTGACCTCGTTCCAGTAGGATAGGCTCAAATGGAGTCGGGCGTGGCAGTCCCGTAAACAGTTCACTCGGGGCTTTGTCGCCGAGCGACCGCACAGGAGTATGGTTGAGATTTCCCTGCACGAGAGGCAAGATGTAGACCCACTCATGAGTGTCTACACCATTGCCCGGCCAAGTTGAGAATAGTTTCAACCAAAACGATACTGTATTTTTTCCGGTTTCCCAAAAATATAGTTAGCAGCCAAAAATCAAGGTCCAAAGCGAGATTGATTTCATGCAAAGCGATCCAGCCGACGTGCAGCCAAAATTCGACGTGTTCGCGCGCGCGCGAAATCTTGGCGCGAAGCCTCGGCTCGAGGGCGCGCTCCAGGAGCTCACTTCGAATCCTGCCTTGTCCAGCAAAGATACCCTGTCAAGCCTCCCTCCCCAAGCACTCCGCGGCCGAGAAACTTCGTGTCCTCGACGCATGCCGCGCTGGAAGGACCGACTGGCTAATGGTAGCCAAGAACAACGGCATCTCCCGGGCCGTTGCGTACCGCATCGTTGACACCGGCCGTGTTAACCATCTCCCCCGTGGTGGCGCTCGTCTTGGCTACCCCAAGGTTACGCCGCTGGTGAAAGAGCAGTTGGAGGAGTACTTGAACGAGAACTGCACGTTCACCATGGAGACCATGCGCCGCATGCTCGCGCTGGACTTGGCCGTGGCCATCTCCACGTCGACGATCAGCCGTCAATTGCTGGGGATGCTGTACACGGTGAAGCAGACCCGCGTGGAGCCGACAACCTGCAACAGCATCACGAACAAGACGAAGCGTAAGGAGTTTGCGATCAAGTTGAAGCAGCACCAGCGCCAAGGTAACTTCATTGTGTACTTCGATGAAACTAACTTTAATGTGTACTGTAAGCGCGGCCGAGGGCGCGCGAAGAAGGGTGACCGAGCTACGGTTGTTCTGCCGCCGTCCAAGGGTGCGAACTTGCAAGTCCAGTGCGCTGTGAACTCGGCCGTTGGTGTCGTTTTGCATCGCCTCGAAAGAGGTAGCATTCGGATGGAGCAGAACGCGGACTTCATCGACGAGATATACGCGACGGTCAAAGCGTCCCAGCGAAAACTACGCTGGGAAGACGATCGCTGTCGTCTTGGACATCGCCCCCGCCCATCGCCAGACGGAGGAGCGCGTGACGTCCCACGCCGACCTGGAGCTGCTGCGTCTAGCCCCCTACTCGCCGATGTGCAACCCCATTGAGGGTTGCTTCTCCGTCCTGAAGTCGCACATCAAGGACCACCTCGCCTTGGATCGCTCGGAAATTTGCGATCGCAGCGACATGACCGACGCCGACGGCAGCATCCTGACCGTGAAGGAGCGCACGATGCGCTTTCTGGAAAGGGCTGTCCGCGGCAGCATCAAGTACATCACTCCCGCCATCGTCTCGAACATGGAGCTACACGCCCGCGACTCCGTGAACGCTGCCGAGAACATGGTCGACATGGTCTACGGAAAGTAGGCTGATAGTGCTAGTCGAGCTTGGGACCCTCGGCTCTGTCTGTTCGCTTTGCATGAAATCAATCTCGCTTTGGACCTTGATTTTTGGCAGCTAACTATATTTTTGGGAAACCGGAAAAAATACAGTATCGTTTTGGTTGAAACTATTCTCAACTTGGCCGGGCAATGGTGTAGAGTGTACTCCATCAATAACACGCGTAGAACTTAGGGTACGTCGCGGTTTAGACGTTCAACCGTTCCATTTATCCATGGTGCATATGCCACGACAAAGTTCTGGTCAATGTCTAATTTCTTGCAAATCATAGCAATCAGCTCGCTCTTGAAGTGGCTGCCCTGGTCTGACATCAACACCGATGGAGCACCAAAACGTTTCCATCAATCGACTAAGGCTGTAGCCGCCACCACACTTGTAGGTGAATCACAGGCCATCAGTTCGCAAAAGTGGGTGAGATTGTCCTTCAGTACAAGAACGTACTTACACGCACCCATGCTGTCCTTTAAAAAGAGAAAATCGAAGTGTAGTAGTTCGTTTCGTTCTGTAGCCTAGTAGGTTGGTCCCCACGGGCGAGGGATGACGTTTTCCCTCTTCACGTGCTTGCAAAGCAAACATCGACTCAAAAACCTGCGGCAAACTTGAGTGAGGTTCGCGATCTCGAACAGCTCCTTCACTGTTGTGATCATGGGCTCTAATCCTCTGTGGCCCTGGGCTCCACAGTGAGCGACGATCAAAATCCGCTGCAGTAGTGCCACTTCAACTTCAGATATCCACAGTCGATCATTAACAACCAGGAATCCATTGTCGTCACGCTTTACGTTCACGGGTGCACTGATGACATGCTTTTGCTGCACTGTCTGGATCTCGCCCAGAGTAGGAAAGACAAATCCGTTTGCTCGCAGGTGTACACGCTGCATTTGAGTGTCAGCTACAGCAGTCTCCCGAGTCCTGCTTCTGGTGATAGCTTTGCATTTGGTTAGCACTCCCTCCTCCGCTGAAGGAAGCCCCCACCGCGATAGTAAATCGGTCCATAAATTGGCAGATCCATCGATATGCTCAATCTGATACTGCAACCCTGTCAACGAGAGGGCCCAGCGTTGCAGTTTTCCACGCACATGGCTCTTCACCTCTTGATCAAGAGCGAAGACGTACACGAGGTTCTTGTGATCGCAGTAGAGTCTGAACCCGTTGCCACGAACTAACAGGTAGGTCAGGTTGCGAGACGCCCAAATGATGGGGAAAGCTTCCTTTTCAATGATACTCCAGCGCCTCGCCGTATCATCAAACTTCCCGCTCTTGCATACGAGCAGTTCGTGCTGTTGATCCGCCACCGGAACACCCTCAACCCAATCATGGACCTGCGTGACTACTAGTCCCCAGCCTCTGTCGGAAGCGTCCGACATGAGTACGATTGCCGCATCCTGGGCTGGGTGATGGAGTGTTTGAGACGTAGCAAGTAGGTTTCGTGCATCTTCAAATGCAGCTGTATCACGAGCATCCCATTGGAGAGCCGCACCTGCGGCAAGTCGTTTCGTCCGACCACCTACTTTCAACACAGCTTCCAACTTGTCATGCAAAGGCTGCATCACCCGGCTGAAATCCATAAGAGAGTCACGCATCCATCCGGTTGCACAAAGGAACTGTTGTAAATCCGCAGCAGTACCGGGCAGAGGGAGTTGTCGGAGGCCACTAAGCCGTTCTGGGTCATGACAAACTCCAACACCACTGAAACCTCGGCCGCACCACTTATCCTCCTTCCGAAACAGAAAACTTTTCTTCACACTGAGTTTCAATCCAAGCTTGCGTGCACGAGCCAAAAACAGCCTCAACACAGCGACGAAACTACCGGTGAAGGCGCGTACAGCAAAATATCGTCAATCCAGATCAACAGATTCGTTCGCAACATGTCCTCAAATGCTAAGCTCATCTGATTCTGGAAAAGCAAAGGAGAATCCATAGCTCCTTGAGGAACACGACATGGCGTCCATACTCCTTCGACCGTAATGAAACTCAAAGGCTCCCTACTGTCCACATCAAGCGGCAGCTGAGAAAACCCACTTGGCATGTCAAAACCTGCGAATCCGTAAGCCCCTGCAACGTTCCCAGAAGACGACGTAAGATCAGCACCTGTGCCAGCAATCGGCACGGTTACCACGTTCACCGGTCGGTAATCGACCGTCAATCGAAATTCGGTTGGCCGGCCAACCTTCGCAACCGGCACCGCCGCACAAGCCCACAAGCTCATGTTGTTTCGATAGATAAATCCGTTCTTTTCCAGCATCTGGACATGTTCTCGTAGAAACGCGCTCTGTGCTGGAGAATAACGGCGAGGGCGAGCTCGGTAAGGCTGAGCTTCTGGCTTCAACGTGATTCGTAAGGGTTCGACATCTGCAGGTGGGTCGTCGAGCAAGTCGACTCGAAATACATCTTCATGTTCCATCACAGCTTCACGAAGGCCACCCAGATAATCTCGATCAAAGCCACTATCACCCGCCGCCGCCACCATTTCCTCCAATTTTACGTGTACCTCAGTCGGGGGCATCATGGATGGGACACCTAAATCGAACGGGTCTTCGTCCGCAACAGGGGGGCCAGATGCTAGTTGTGAAAGCTGCTCATTGACATCAATGCCAAGCGTTTTCAACGTGTCATTTCCAAGGATGAAATCTGACTCAGGACCTTCCATCACTTTGCAGTACACATCAGACAAGTGTACGGGACCTGCAACAGTCTGCAACAGTAGATCCAGCGTGACTGCTTCACGACACTCCACTGTATTTCCTCCTGCCGCACTCTTTTTCTCTGTGCGAGGTAATTTCATCACGTTCAGAACTGCTCCAAGTCCAATCAACTCATCTAAGTACTGTCGAGGTAGGTATGTCTCCTCCGACCCTGTATCAGCAAGGAACGGGATCGTCAAAAGGTTATTAACCATTGTTTCGCCCGGCGCAGGTGCCGATCCGATCTTCTTGACACGTCCATTTGTCGCTTGACGAACCTCCTTCATCTTCTCTACGGCTCGAGCTTTCTCGTCTTCGCTCGCCGCTGGACAATCCCTCAACCAATGAGGTCCCTGGCAGTGCCAACAGCCCGTCTTCGGTGGAGGTGTTTCTTTCTTGGGCAAATTCTGCTTCACACTACCGCCAGCACCACCAGAACCACCGCGTATACTGCCAGTGGCACCCTGCGTATTTGCTGTCTTCATACTTGCTGATCTGGCTTCAGGTTTGTTGTTGTTGCGATCATTCGCCTTATCCTTCTTGGACAAGTTCGACTTGACCTTCTGCTCATGTGCCATTACATGGTACTTATGCTGTGCACGGGCTTTCTCCTTAATAATCCCAAAAAGCGTGAAGTCGTTGCGCCTCGCTTCACGACAATCGTACTTTACGTGGCGACGCACGTCGTCTCGAAGCATCTTCGGCTCCAAGTTATCGATGAGAACAGTGCACCGTAGTTTCATTCGGTCAACGTACCCACCGTCGGCCACACCAAGGATCGTCGTAAGACCATTCTCCTTAATGAGCGTAGCGAAGTCCTTGTAGTATTTGAGTACTCGGGCGTCAATGTCATCCTCTCGGAGGTCGATCTTCAACAGTCGTGAAAAAAAGTCGTCTAAGTCTGGGACTTGGGCGTTCTTAACAGACCCGAGTTTAGCGTCGATCAGGGTGACCAATTCTTTACTCGTCACCTCGTCGACAGCCTTCCGGAGTTCGTAAAGGCAGAGTACTTCGAGCAGTTCCGGGTCAACACAAGTCTTGACCGGACGCAAAGCAACTTCCAGTCTTTCCCCACTCTCAGTGCAACGCTGGCGAACAATACTCACGTATTGTTCCCACCTCTTCTTCCAGCTGACAACTGCGTCCTGACTCCAGTCTGTCAATCTGGGTGCTTGAACAAACCCGAACACGGGTTGCTGAACGTTTTGCATCACAGCATCTCCGTCCGCATCGAATCGAGCTTCACTGCTTTGCATCTTGTCGCGGTCCTAAAAGGACTAAAGTTAACTTTGTGGTAAGTTCCGCTGAATGCTTGTTGCTTGCGAGGTAAATGCAATTGTGAGTTTATACGAACTGACCTATTGTCCTTCTTGTCTTCTAGTGCTATGCCGTACGTATTGACTGGTCCTGAGCGCTCGGCGCCAGGTTGAAGTCCTCACCATGGTTGTGGTTGTCTTCTGAATACCAGATAGCCTCGAAGATGTAATACAGGCTGTGCTTCAGCCTACACTTTGGAAAAGAAAGGTACCACGGATGCGAGCGACTTTACGCAATATGCAACTCCAAAAGAACTTCAAGGGAAGAAGAACATCGCATGTGCGCTTTTACGCGGTGTAATCATCTGGGCGTCAACGACGTTGCGAATAGCGTAGCGGTAGTTCCGGTAAATTCCTGGATAGATGAATACGGAGTTAAGGACTCGGATTCTTTCCCAGTTTTGTCGAAAGAGCTCATGAAACGGCTTAAAATCGCCAGTACAAAGACACCGTACCTTGGCGATGCGCACAACAAGTTTAAAAGGTACCTTTGGCGCTGCTCGAAAGTTTATGGCTCAAAGACGCTCCACCTCCCGTTAACGGTCTTCCGCGGCTTCATGTTTGGTCGGTCGACTGTGCTCCGTGCTCAACCGTGGTGCTATGGGAGAATTTCTGTCCGTGCACTCTTGCCGTTACGTGTTTTACCGTGGCTTCGAGCGTGCGTGCTCTTCCGTAGCCCGTGCTTTTCAGCATGCTGGGGTGTCTATGTATTTAGTTCCCTTCCGTGGCCTGTACGC